TTGAATTTTGGATAAATGCTCGAGATTGGAAAATTTTTATTCTTCGACATTAAAGATTATAACGTATGGGTTACGTCAAATCTGAATACCCAGCTCAATAACGCGCGAATTGCTTTGGGGACGGGGAATGAAAATTGTAAAGACACCTACTATCGAGAAACATTGAATGGATAAAATGGGACAAACCTGTAAACTATCATGCTTTTACCCAATGGGAAAAAGATAGAGATAAGCCCAGTATAGGTCCACCAATTTGAGGAAAGATAAGTTGGTTTAGATGAGTTTTATGGATAGCTGATGACTTTTGAAACTGGATTTTGGAAGGTTAGATTCACCCGTTAAGAGACAAGTCGGCCAACGAAGGAGGAAAAATGGATACGTTGTATTGTTACAGGTTCTAGGCTACATTTCAGATGAAGGTTCCTGGTGTAGTGTCCTAGTTCACGCTCTCATTATAATGTTCCGTTAAAAGAAGATAAAATAGAAGGATATTTACACATTAACGAGCCGTATAATGAATATTACGTGCAGTATTTAATAATAGAGTAAAATCCGAAAAGAAGGACATTTATTTAAAAGAAGAACATTTATTTGAAAAGGAATATTTATTTGAAAAAGAACATTTATTTGAAAAGGAGGACATTTATTTGAAAAGAATGACATTTTGTGTATCATAGATTAATTTATATAATATAGAATATATAGTAAGAAGGATTTATGTGGACGATAAGAAAGATTGGAAATTCGCGAACTTTAAAAGTTATGAAAATTTTGGAGTTTGTGATATGTGAAATTATGGATCTTGGTGACAAAAAAGATGTGATAAGTGAAATTATGAATCACGGTGATAGGAGATAAATTTTAGAATGTGACATGTGAAATTATGGATATCGGTGATAAAAGATAAATTTTATGGCGCAGTAAAAACCTCCGCAGCCTGAGGAGATCGTGGACTTAGAATAATTTTTGAAATTTTGAGGCGCAGTAAGAATTAATAGTAAAATATGGCGTAGCGAATACATAAAACTGAAAGATGGAATCTAAAGATTGAAAGAAGCAATCTATTTAAAGATAAAAGAATGTTTAGAAGATTGAAAATAGAAATGATAAGAGTGAAGTATAAATATATAAAAGGATGTGAGATTTTAGTTAAGATTCTGGATGAACGATTACGACGATGGAATGGTATGAAACTTGGAGGGTTGATTACGAAAATCACAAATTAAGACATGATGAAAATATTGGAAATGTAGATATAGGTGAATTAAGAGGAGAAAATATAACATGTGAAATATGTTATCCAGTAAAAGATACGCCAGAAGTTTTTAAGAAATTTTGGAGAATATTACAAAAATTTGAATATACGATAAAAGGTTATAACGCGGAAACTATAAGAGCGTTATTAAATTTATTAAGTATAGATAGTGAAGA